AAATCTGTTGTCCAGATATAACTTCAGCTGTTGGACTTTTGTGCAGAAAGACCAGTTCACCCAATGAGCATGACTGGAAAGCCATTAAGAGACTTGCAAGATACCTAAAAGGAACTTTGGACTTCAAACTTAAAATTTCAGCTTGTGATGAACCAAGACTGACTGGATACATGGATGCCAACTGGGACAAAAACTCACCTGATGGAAAATCTACAACTGGATACTTGTTCTACTATGGAAACAGTTTGATTGAATGGACTAGTCAAAAGCAAACGATTGTAGCCATGTTTACTGGAGAAGCTGAATGTGTATCAGCACAAAGTGCCAGCTATGAGCTCTACTGGATTATTCATCTACTGAAAGACTTCAGCATAGATGAACCAAAGGCAATAATACTTTTTTGAGGACAATCATGCTTGTATTGCCATCTGCAAAGGTGAAGGCACCAAATCTAAAAACAAGACCATCACACTCAAATGTCACTATGTGAAAGAGCTGCAAGACCAAGGACTGATTGAACTTGTTGGGTATTACAAGTTGAAAACAATCATTGTATCTGGGGTTAAATGTTTGTTTGTGTTGCTCACAGGAAGTCAAATGTTTTTCATGTAACCAATGTTGTTTTAGGAGTACAAGCCCGGGAAAATTCTCCCTGATCTAGGAGTTTGATTGGGACAAAAGTGTCAAAGTGTTTTAGCATTTTATGGCTCCTCTTCCCGTCTTTGTTTGGTGTTCTGAAGAAGAAGAAAGAAGAGCAGCCATTTCCATCTTCTAGTCTTGTCTTTGTAGTTTAAGGATGTAGCCGTTTAGCTTTTTTAAAATTTTCATCCCAGTTACCCTTCCCCATGCTAGAATTTAGTAAAAACTTTATATTTTAATCACACATGGACTCTGAGTCTGAATTATTTTACTCTACTTCTGCTAAGTTATCTTATCTCTGCTAAATACCATTTTTTCAATATCTCACTATCAAACCCAACAGAACTCCAATACTGTCCTACTGATCAGATGATTGCCGACATCCTGACCAAGCCCCTTGACAAGCAACGTTTTGAAACTCTTCATGAATGTTTGAACCTGCATGACTTTTGTGTTATAACTTGTGAGTGGGTGTTGGGTATTACAAGTTGAAAACACTCAGTCTATCTGGGGTTAAATGTTTGTTTATGTTACTCACAGGAAGTCACATGTTTCTCATGTAACCAATGTTCTTTAGATGT